CAGGCTCCTTGAGGGTTAAGTCAGCCTCTTGGATGCAACTGAACATGCATTTGTGTGTGTGCTTTATTGTTAAAGGATGGGACCCGGGCTGAAAACACATTCATTACTCCCTGTCGTAGGGCAGCTAATGCATTCTAGGCACATACTATGAGGCTATAACTCTGTACAAGACAGAGTAAACAGACAAGTCTAGACAGAGAAAGGAGACGACTGAAAATGGTCTTAGATCTTGGCTACAGGCGTTTTAGCATTGCCTTATCATTCCACTGGCAAATAGTATAAAACCTTGCCTCGTTAATGCCAAAGGGAGTAGAGGTTTCGCATGACTTAAATTCAAGAGGGTTTGAATTCTCCACCAGAAACCAATCCCCAGGCCAGATAGTTTTAGCGGTCACTCAGCACAAATCTGACCGTGCTCGGCTGTGGTTTGTTTATCTTTGGGAAGGCCAGGGTTCTTAAACAGAACCACCCGTGTACACATTACAAAATCCATCACATTGTAGGAAGGTTTGTGTGAACGGGATCTAGGAGTCATAAAACCAATGACAAAATGTAAACATGCCAAGGTCTTCCTATTTATCCAGTTGCCTAAGAAAATAAACCGCCAGAAATCTTGGTTTCTTAAAACTGGCCACGTCTGCAGTCACTGGCTGATCGGAGAGAACAGAAGAAAGAATCGTGTGGTAGAATGGAGTGGAAGAAGTTGCAGGGGAACAGAGTGTGTGACCCCCAAATAAGCCACTTTGGCACGTGGATTTTCCTGAGCGGAAGGCAAGATCCCAAGGCTTCAAGAACAACTTTTACTTTTCCCTGAACTTCGTAGGAGAATTTAATTAGGGAGCCTGGCTCATAGAGAGAGCTATTAACAAAGATAACATTTACTTGAATGACCTACCTGTATGGCAGGGCAAACATCTAATTACCAAACATCTGCTCTTATTGTCCCATAAATTACCCTCCTCCTCTTTGAAGCCCCAGGCCTTTATTGCATTACTTAGTTTAGAGAAGCGGGGAGGGGGGGGGGGGAGCATAAAACCCTCATCTGCCCACTTTGCCCTTCTTTGGGATTTTGTGAGGTTAAATTTGTTTTTCTCCTGTTACTCTGCCTTATGTCAATTTAGCTAACAGACCAGCTAACAGAACCTATGAAGGTAGATGAATGTATTTTCCTCCCCTACACATGCATAGATTATCACAGTGAGAAAACAGACTAGCACCCTCACCCACTTCAGCATCCTCCGATGGGCACCAACAGGATCATTTTGAAGTGATATTCGACCCTGCCCTATGGTTTTCTGTGCCAGCACCTTAGCATTATGCCTCCTTTTTGCTCTCACATTCAAAGGACCTTTCTAAACTCAGTCATGGAATGTTGCTGCCCCCTACACATAATCAGCAGCGATGTTCCTTCTGATCCTGCTGAAGATCATTGTCTCTCTGAGAAACATCTTTAATACAAACTTAAATATCATTACAAAAAGGAAGAAAGCCAATATCTAAATCCACTATTTCCCATTGATAATAATAATCACCAAATATGCAAGTCAAATAGATATTCAATAAGGGAGACAATTTTAACACTAGCTCACATTTATTGTTTTACTATGTGACAAGCATTGTTTCAAGATCTTTACATGCCTTAATTCATTTGATCCTCATGAAAATTCTGAGGTATTATAAATCCCTGAGGTATAAAACGATTAAGTGACTTGTCTGAGAACCTATAGCAAATAATTGTCAGAGCTAGGATCCAGAATCTGTACTCTTAATCATTAGGCTATGTTGCTGGTGAAGACTTGGATTCTCAAAATTTTTAAAATTATTTTAGTAGGCAGAAGACACAGTGACGGAAAAAAGAATATTAAAATTAATTTTCCTTCTGGTATCCCTTGTCCTGGGAATGGTTTGTGTTTGTTTGTTGTTTTGAAATGATGTTTGCCTAAAGCCAATAATCATGGAGTACTTCTTATAATCCCTAGGAGACATCCTTCTCTATTGTTGTATGTATATGACAATAAAAGTTACATCAGGGAAAAAATCAAATAGGAATGGAGAATGAAGCATGGTACCTAGCTCTCCTCTTGTGGTAAGACTTATAAAAATGATTTTCATCCAACATAATTAAGACACACAAAAAACATGCTGCATATGTAAATGAAACTTTTAGGACAGTATTTGAATTCATAAATATAAGCAAACAGAGGACTGTCGCTCTGTTTTGAAAAGATTCAAGTGTTCAACATCCACTGGAGTGGACGCCTGAAAAGCGTGGTGAAGGATGGTCTAGCATTTCCTCTCCCACTGGAGAAGAGAGCATAACCCCAGTAGGGGGTGTGCAAGAGGCAGCTGATCGATGATTCTCTCTCATCGATGTTTCTAACTCTCTATCTCTCTCCCTTCCTCTCTATACAAAATCAATAAGATATATTTTAAAAAAAAAAGTTATGAAGATGTGCAAGACTCAAAAATACAACACAGTAACAATGAGAGAAACACATACTGTACCTCTACTTCAGCAAATCACGTGCCATTTGATATTTCCAGGATCATTCTCTCTTTTCTCAATACAAAGAGCTGATTTTGCATGTGGCTTTGCAGCAGATTTAACTTTTAATAAGCCAGTTCTTGCTAAGTATTTCTTAGCACATTTACTCGATTCCATGCTTGAGGTCCACAATTCATTTGCTAACCAGAATATATAGAATTTTATTCTAATACCAAACTCAAAGACAAGAACTGAATCTGTCTCATGGGTATTTTGCTGCAGTCAAATGTGATTCATAAAGGCACTGACATTCTGTAAGTGGTTTTAAATCTCAGTATGGACAGGACTAATTGAACAGGATGTGGTCAGTCAAAAAGAGGCTGTACACATTCCTGATTTTATATTAATGCCAATAAAATTAGCAAGCATACAACAAAATCATGTAGACAGAAAAGATTATGCTCTACTCTATTTTACATAAAATGTAAGTGATATTCAAGAAATAAAATGTAATATAGTACCTATGAGTGATCAATGGCAGAGCTTTGAGAAAAACATCCCAGGTTTGGAGTCTTTATGGGCCAGCAATTCTGCTCATAATCCTAAATGTAACCAACTAACAGAAATATGGGTCACTGTTCTCAAGAGGAAGATAAGATGAGTGAGTCTAACTACATTCTCAGGCCTAGAGGTCAGAGTGAGGCAAGAAAGTAAGAAACTAGGAAAATCCTTTGGCAAGTGGTGTGAGGAAACTGAGACAGATAGCTAAACAGATGGCTGAGCAATTTACAGCGAGCTAATAAATCCCAAGATCTCATCTTTCCCAACCAAAGATACTTAGGATCAAATAATTTACACATTTGAGACCAAGCGGGGACAGGCTTTCCACTGACATTCTTTGAAGGTGAAACTGACCAGAGAATGACCCTGGCCCCTCTATATGCTTATTTTGATGCATCGACATATCGAAGGACACACCTGGAAAGCTGACCAATATTCTATTGAGAACCTCCCCTAAAATTCCCATCTTTAGAAAACACATAAAAACCCTTAAGGCAAAGGACCCAGTGTGTGCCCTCCCTTCAGCATGCGCATGCCTTCCCCCGTGCTTTCCTCAGGTGTGTATCTTTGCTTTATTTCTAAGCTCTACAAGTTCCCAGGATACTTACAACCAGGAGAGCAGCAGGCAGTGGCAGCTCATCATGAGCAATCCCTGGAACCTGTCTGCAAGGGCCGTTCTTTTGCCTCTATAACTTGTTTCCTGAGTCCACACTGCCCAGCTGACTCACTGCTGCCTCTTTTTAAAGGACCAATGCAGCTCCTCCTAGGCTCACTCCTGTTGCTTGATCTTGCCTCTTCTCTCTTAAGCCTTTCCTTTGTTTCACTGTCCTCAGCTTTAATAAACATTCCTCAAAATCACTGGACTGGTATCGTGAAATATTTCCTGCATGAAGTCAAGAATCCACACATTCCAGACTGTTGCCAGGGCAGACCTGCCTCAGTCCTGGTCCCTTTTCAGTGACTGGTTATTGGGAGCATCTTCACATATGACAAGTTTTTGTGTCCTTACCTTTAATGTCCTGTAGTATTCTTTTTCATCTCTGAAAGAAAGGCTATTTTAACAGCAATTGCAACCTCAGACTCTTTTACCCCTATTAAGAAAAGTGTATGATATTGCAAGGATGAAATTATGATGTATATTTTATTTTGAAATGCAGACGTTTCCTTTTTCTTGGGAGGGTGTCAAGTTGTGAGATTCTGGAGGCATTGAATTTTTATTCATAGCTTCATTTGAGTGACAATTAAGGTCAGAGTACAGTGAGATAGCAAAAAATAATAATGATAATAGTAAAATACCCCAGAACTTTAAAAATCTCTAAGAATACACAAAATATATAACCCACACAGTGACAACTTAAGTTGGCTTTCTTAAAATATGGCTCTGACTAACCTAATCTATCTATCTATATATATATATATATATATATATATATATATATATATATATATATAGAGAGAGAGAGAGAGAGAGAGAGAGAGAGAGAGAGAGAGAGAGATAAAAGCCCAGTGACCAGAACGGCAGAATGACCAGAACAACCAGTGGCTCTGACGTGCACTGAGGCAGCCAACCAGTGATCCAGGCTCCAATTGGCCCCCAACATCCCAACTGGGGGTGGTTCCAGCTGCCAACCACCCAAGGCCCCCCACCCCAGCTGGCCCTGCCCCCAATCGGCCCCAATACCCCTATCAGGGGCAGGGCCAGCCAGCCAACTGCCCATGGCCCTTCTCCCCCACTGGCCTGGCCCAATGGGCCCTCATTGGGGCAGGCTAACCAAATCCCACTTGTGCACAAATTCATACAACAGGCCTCTAGCAGATAATAACAAATACAAAGAATCCTTCAACAATAAGAGAAAGTCTTTTTTGATAACCCAGGCAGATTTTTCTAGTCATTGGCCTATTTCCCCATCCTTTCAGATTCTAAGTTTTGTCTAATACTACACCCAAGTCTCACCTGGGACTTCAGGAGAGAATCTTGCAGAGTGTCGAGATACAAAAAGTTTCAGCTCCTGGTCTAAGTTGCATTCAATCAGGTTTGTGTCCCATGATCGGATTCCTAAGGAGAAAAAGGAAGACAGTTGACAGACTTCCAGTTAGTCATTTCAGAATGGTTAGGAAAGCGTCACTGTGACAAGTCTCAGGCTTTCTGGGAAGATGTGGAAACCCCTTTTCTGAAGAGCTTGGTGATGGGATGCCCACAAGATGGGAGGGCCAGGGAGCTCTCTCCGCCAGGCCGCAGGGAGGAATAACTAGCACTGTGGACTGAACTTCTGAACCTCGTAAAGCGTAAATGCAGCTTTTCTGCAAGAGTAAAAGAAAACAGTTATTAGGAAAATGACAGGCTTTCCTCCAGTGAGGGAATATAAAGGACAGAAAGATGTTGAGTTCTGAAGCAATTAAGAGGCCACCAGACAATCTGGCTTCCCCATGGTCTACTTGTAAGTAGCAAGAAAAAGTAGGATGGTGCTGGGAAAGCCAGCAGCCCAGGGACTGCCATTCAAGACCAGGCCTTTGCTTTTTAAATGTTCCTGCAGTGTGCCTCTACATTTTGTGCACATGTACAGTTTCTTTTTTTTTTCTTTTATCCATCCCACTTTTGACTTTAGTTCGTTAACCCCAGGATATCAATCCAAAGTTTGTGTGATCTTTGGTAAAAAGGTTAGATCCCAATCTCCAAGACTTGGCCTGTCTGTCCTCCCAGGCATTTATTTTACCTGATCAGCTTGGCAAGCAGCTCTTTCATTCACAATTGTTAGTTGTGTTGCATTTTCTTACCCAGAGGCAAAGAAATGTGGCCACTTTTTATATTTCATAAACTTTCTACAGAGTTGGGGGCCATGCATTGTCTATTCCCACAGAAGCTCAGGCTTTCATTCACTAGGCTGGAAGCTGGGGTGAGAGGACACCTGGGCAAGAACTGCTGTTGCCCTCCCTCCCTGGTCTCCTCCTTCCTGCCCCTCTGCCCTTCTCTCTCCTGCCCTCCCAAAGGAGATACAGAGAGGAGCCCAGAGGACATCGGAGAACGGAAATCTGAGGAGCAAGCCAGGGGCAACTGAGGAACCACAAAACTCTGGAGTGGGTATGTGTTTTATATATTCTTATATTTCGTCAAATAACTAGATGGCTCACGGCAGAGCCAGTATACAGTGTCCATAATTGTACCTTTGCACAGGCATACTGCCAGCAACAAATCTCTGGAACAACAATCATTTACTGCATACCTACTAAGGGCAGGGTTTGAAAGTAGGTATAACACAGCCAGTGAATTATCATTTTTGCTGGTCATTAGTCAGGTGCACAGACTTGGAAGTACATAGAGGAGTGTGTTATTTAAGGACACCTCTAAATCCTAAATGCATATCTCCATTTATTCCCTTTTACCTCTTGTTCATTCTTCCTATCTTGCAAACAATCAAGGTAGATTAGATAGGTGGGAAGGCAGGAAGGCAGGAAGGCAGGAAGGCAGGAAGGCAGGAAGGAAGGGAGGAAGAAAGGAAGGGAGGAAGAAAGGAAGGAAGGACACCCGGGCAAAAGGTACAATTGTGGATATTATATACTAGCTCTACCATGAGCTATCTAGTTTTGGGGGAAATATAAAAATATATAAAAATATAAGAATACACACACATTACAAAATATTCTGGAAACTCATTTGACTATACATCAAAAATATCTTCAGCCTTAGCCGGTGTTGTTAAATGGCTAGAACATGGGCCTGCTCACCAAAGGGTCTTGGGTTCGATTCCCAGTCAAGGGCACCCAAAATAACATGTATATATATTCAGATTATACACCAAACACTTTTTTCAACTATGAAAAATATTCCCAATAGATGTCCACTATAGGGAGGTAGATATTTCTCCACAGTAATCCATGGCAATAATTCAGGTGTGAAAGAGTTAACATTCGTAAAGAGAGGCTAAGTTATAAGGGAGAATTTTATGAGTCTCCCTGGAAACATTATCAGTCTCAGTTTGCATGTGTGCTAATGGAGTATTTAAATTTTAACAAGAAAAGCATGTTGAGATATCGTGGATCTTTTTAGTGCAGAAATGATAAATGGGTTCTTTTTGTTTCACAGAAAGCTTGACAGGTTGAGGGGTCTGAATTCATTAGAATATTTTACTTCAGCCTAAACATACACTATTTACTTGTCTAGTGTGGAAAATTGAGGAGTCCTGTCTGAGCTGCTTAATTGGTAATTGTTGAGTGGATCCTCTATGCTTGGGTCGGAGCTCTACTCTGTCTTCTGGCTTGTCAAGTTGGGTCAATAAGTTATAATGAGTTATATGTAATGAAATTGAACTCATATAATTTTTCTGCCTTTGTTCTGAGTAATGTCCAAAGTGCTACACCATTTGAATGTCTTCATCTAGGGTTAGATGTAGACTTGCTCTTACATTGTTGTTTGCCATTTTTCCGTTGGCCTCAATTTGTCATGACACACACGATGAAATCTTTGTGTGATATTTTATAAAGTCTTGGTTACATGATCTATAATTTAGCAATGGAAAAAGTATGGAATAATAGAAAATCCATTTAACAATTTTTAAATTACACTAGTAAACAGCGGCTAAAAAATATTTCTCATTTCAGTGCTTCAAATGAAACTAAAAAATTAAGGTTCTCTTTCTCTTGTCAAGGGAGCAGTTTCTAGCCAAATCATTTCTTAGTGATGCATAATCACTACTACCACTTATAAAATAAATTTTATAATGGATTTATAGGTTATTTTAGTTAGAAAATTTTTGGAGTTATACCACTTTCTAAACCAATTTTAGAAATAAAATACTTTGTAATTATTTTGTACCTTTTAATAATGTCAATAAAGAGAAATCGTATTTCTCAATGAAGGTTCATGCTGCATTTAGTAGATTATATGTCTCCCCTTTGTGTCTAAGAGGAAGCCACTAGTGGGCCCTCTAAAGCTTATAGGACAAAAAAAATATGTATCTTCTTTGGCCCTTCCCACATTCTCCCCTGGATTCAGAGAGAATAGTAGAGTGCTGGCTTTCAAAAGCAGGTCATCCTGGTCTCCGATGGGTTGTAGAGAAGCCGGGATAAATTCCTGGCCCTTTTCTGATGACCCCTCTCCCCCTCCCAGTCTCTTCACCCACCTACCATTAACCTCCACCCCCCACCCCACCCCCAGTAAACAACAGGTCAAGCTTTCCCTGAGGCTTTGCTTCTCCAACACTCCATGGAGACTGTGCTCCCTAGAGGCTTACCCAAGGGGGGAAGGGGGGGGCAAAACAACCCCACCCCTTGGAGGAGACAAACCTCCACTTTTTAAACTATGGCCAGGCATCCGGAGAACTCTCCCAGCTAATCTGGAAGGAGTGCCATCACTCTGTCACCAGTTCTCCAGCCACAGAGTTCAGGATCTTTCCTTCTCACCTCTCCGGCCTCAGGTGGTAGCAGCGCACAAAGGGCAGGCAAGAGTGCACGTGAACATGAAGTTTTAGGCGGAAAAAGAAGAAAAGGCTGTATATATGTGTGTGTATGTGTGTGTACGGACAGTGGGGGGAGGGGGGGTCACTGTCATCATAGAAGTCAAAGTGAACAACGAAGAGCCCTAACTTTATACTGGTTAGATCTGGACAAGTTTATCAGTCATGCAAGCATTCTGCAGGAGTCTTTCATGAAACCAACAATTTAAAACAAAAAAACAAAAACAAAAAAAAACCCACCTTCCATTTAAAGGCTAAAAGCTATATTCAGGCAGTAGACTGAAGAAAGCAGAAGCTCACGACCATGCATTCCATGTTGAAATGGCCTGTTGCGTTCTATCTGACAGTTATTTGGGCCCTTGACAAGTTGATTTTCCTCCATGAGCTTTAGTTACTCCCTCTGAGAAACTGGCTTTTCAGTATTTTCCACAAGTATCTAAGTGATTATCCTATACCCCTAAGATGCTGTTTGTAAAACTATGCTAAAAAGTGATCAAGTCAGGTTGGTATTATACACTAAAGAAACAAAATTAAAACAAAGGAAATGCTAAATTCAAGGTTTTATTTCTCAGAGAAAAGTTGTCCTATTTTTTTCCTTGACCTAACCTTTGATTTACTTTCTTCCTTTTATTTAAGCCAACAATGTGACATTCATAATATATATTTTATGAATTATGCTAACAATTTCTTACATGCAGAGCTCATCATTTCAAAATATTGATGATAGGTGGTATTAGTAAATATCACAAACAAAAGAAGTGATTTATAATAATTTATTTTATTGGCCTAAAAGTTGTAACTTATTTAAAAAGTAAGCATTCAGAGAAGATTAACAATGAATCATCAATTTAATGACCTTATGTTTGGGAAATGGCTTACATTTCAGAATGCATATAGAACCCTTAGATAATACCAACTAAGGAGTGCAAGCAGAAATCCATCTGCCTTTTGACTTTGAAAAATATAAAGACGAATATAATAAATTTAACACTCTCTAACATTTCTTTTAATTCCCACCATGTATTGGGTTTTTTTTCCTGTTAAAATAAAATGAAAACCAAACCAAAATTTTCCTGGGTTCTTATAATAATTCTATTAGCCATCTTAGACTGAAAATATTCAATAAGGTTAACATCAGAAAGTTCCAATGGATTCAGCTAAAGTTACATCTAAAAATTCAGGACTGTCCTTGCCGATTTGGCTCAGTGGATGGAGTGTTGGCCCACGGACTGAAGAGTCCTGGGTTCGATTCCCATTGAGGGCATGTACCTTGGTTGTAGGTTTGATCCGTGGCCCTGGTCGGGCCCATATGGGAGGCAACCGATTGATGTGTCTCTCTCACATGAATGTTTTTCTCTCTCTCTCTGTCTCTCCCCCTTCCACTCTCTCTAAAAAAATCAATGGAAAAATATCATGTGGTGAGGGTTAACAAAAGAAAAATTTAAAAATTAATAAATAAGAATCCAAGGCAGTAGATGTTACACAGTAGATGTATCTTTTTATGAACAAATCTTGCTGATTCCCAGTGCAAGGTTACCCCCTTTAATAGTAAAAGCATTAAACTGACAGTATTCCTTTGAAACAATAAAAACGAAGCAGTGGCAACTCCTCTCACAAGGCTTCCGTTTGCAAGGCACGGATGCAGGTGGGCCACGTCCTAAAATACACGGGAGGAGTGGGGGCCCTGCTAAGAATGGGATGGCTGTGAAGTGCATGTTGGGAACCAATGAGAGAGGGAGCGAAAAAGGTCCCAAGAAGCTGTAGGCGGTGGTAACGACAATGGTTGGGCATAAAGTCCCCCATGGCAAATGAAATAAATCTAGACCAGTCCGAGGAAAGACTATTGTTTCAAACTTGAGAAGAAATGACCTAAACCTTACGTTTTCCTTCTTGAATACAGTTGAGTGACCATCTCTCTTCCTTGGTTTCAAGAAGCATTTACTAAGCATCCACACTGAGATGTTTCAGGCCTGTTGATTTGCTGCATTACCACCATCTCCCTACAGATTGATTTTCTATTGACTTCCTCAATAATCAAATGGCAAAAGAAATTATTAATTAATTAAAATAAATAATCGAATAGCAACAATCCAAGTCACAAGGGTCTCCAAACCCACGGCGAACCAGTTAAGGTGGGAGGGCCAACAGGAAGCAAGAGTGGCAGATGCTGCACTGCTTTGCCAGCCCTCAGCACACAATCAGAGCTGCAGCCCCTGGAGCATCTCCATCTTGCCTCTCCCAGCGTGGCCCACAGGCACCGGCAGCCACGGCAGTGGTAGCAGAGTGACCTCTGCAGGAGGCCCAGCTGGGGCCCGAAGGCGGAGGCAGCAGCGTGTGAGGCCCGGGCAAACAGAGCTGGCCTGCCCTGTTGCTAAGTCATCTCACGCTGCCTGAAAAGCTGTGGGACCACTTAGCGCTGGAAGGCCCCGAAGCTTGAGCTGCATCCGAGACCCTAGGGCTCAGGAGAGCTGTCTCCAGAGGGAAGCAGCATCTGTTACTGTGTGTAAGGAAATGGCTCTGCTACTCACTTGGTTGATTCTTAATGGGATCAATACAGCCATTTTGGAGGTTCATGCAAAGCCCGACCAAATGAGGGAATGAACACTCAGGAAGGCATGGTGACTGGAAAGGGAACGTGAGGAGTCTTCTGGGATTCCGGTCATGTCAGGTTCTTTCCTGTGAAATTTTTATGAAAATCCACCGAGTTCCTCATCTATGATACGTGCCTTTTTCTCTTTTTGTATACCACTTCATTAAAAACGTTTAAAAATTAAAAGAAAACGTCAGGAAGGCAAATCTGAACTTTATCACTAAGTGCTAGTAGTGTAAAAAAAAAGGACATGTGTCCTTCAATGTGTCTGTTTTATCCTCAAACGGAAGCAGCTTGAATGAACCGGCAGAGGAATGAGGTACTGGAAGGAGGATCCGCGGAGTAACAAAGCAGGGAGATAATTATGGTGGGAGATGATTTCTGAACCACCTCCCTGCACGGTGCAGCCCACAAGTGGATGGCTATCTAAAGGCAGGCTCTGAAAACGGCTGTTTGAGCTCCCTCTGAGGTTAGCCTGCCCTGCACTAACGTAATGACCAGGCCAGAAAGCCAGTGCTGCTGCAGGGGCAGCACTCCTGTCACCAGTGGTGTGACCTTGAGCCCGTCCCCTCATCCTTCCTGCTTCTCTGGGCCCTCATCTCTAAAATGGGGCTGACGGCCCCTCTCCTGGCACCACATCGGATGGTTATGAAGATTTTATAGACAGAAAAGCACCTCTTAAGGTATTATTATCCCCTGGCAATGGTGCTGACACATCCATGCACAAAACAAAACATTTTTTTTTAAAAGCCGAAGTCATTGATTCATAAAGAGCCACGCCCAAAGTCAGTGCCTGTGAAATTTTCTGAGGAGATAATGTGCAAACACACTAAATTAGAACAGATCAGATTAAAAGCTTATAGTTTGAAAATAAGGGTTATTGAGATGTTCTAATAAGGCATATCACTATTGAAATCTTTTATTCTTGATTTTTTCCCCAAATAAAATATTCTTAAATCTGCTCATTTTCCTTTTACTTTTTCTTTCTTTTTCTTTTTCTTCTTTTTCTTTTTTTTCTTTTTTAGCTGAAAGGGAAAATCTGTGCCTTAAAGTTAAACAAAAGAACCAGGTCTACAACTCCAGTCCCCACCCTGCAGCCTTTTGTTCTGGGGACAGCCAAATGCGGAGGCAAATGACTGACAAACGTTTATTTTCTCATCTGAAATAAGGTTTTTCTTTCGGCTTTTTTTTTGGGGGGGGGGGGCGGCTGGCGGGGAGCTGGGGCTGCGAGAACGCCCTTTGTCCGCCTCGGGCTGCCGTAGAGACCGCACTGCGGACTGCACCACGCCCACCCGCCGGTGTCTCCTGGCAGAAAAGCTCCAGCAGAACCCCGAGAGAAAAGAGCGCGGGGCTGGGGCTGCGGGGGGACCCGGCGACCTCAGTCAGGCGCCAGGGGGAGAGGGGGACCCGGGGATGAAGAGAAAGGCGGAGATCGGGGCTGCCCACCGGGGCCTTGGAGCACAACAAAGCTGGGCTCGGGGAGAGGTGGGGGCACGCAGCACCCCGAGCCCGAGGCCCGGGCGGGCTGAGCCCGAAGGGGGCGCCGCAGTGCGGAGGCAGGTGGAGGCACTGCGGCAGCCCTCCCTGGAGGGGCTGCGGGGTGGATCGGCCCTCGTGCCCGAGGCTACGCCCGGGGGACCCTCGCGGCCCCGCCGGAGGGGGGGGGGGGCTGGCGGACCGCTATTCGGCCTCTGCAGAGCGCGCTCCCCGTGCGCGCACCGGGAGAGGCGCTGGCCCTGCCCGCCATCCTCCCTTCCCCCCCTCCTCCTTGCCCCCCAAGCCATCACTCTGGAGGTTGAGACTTTTCAAATAAGAAGCCCCACCCCACAACTTGGGGTCCCATTGTCCTTTCTCCACGCCGTAACCAAGGTCCCAGGGGCGGTAACTAGGCGGGCGCCGTCAGGGAATGAAGTGCGAGAGGCTCTCCATCTGCGTCCCGGGAGAGGCGAGGGCGGGGGGGGGGGGGGGGGGGGGGGGGCGCACGGGCGTGGCAATAGGACTAGCCTCGTCATTCCCAGGAAAGAAAAGATCGGAAGGTGGCAAGCCAGAAAAGGGCGTTTCTCGGGGGTCGAGGTAGCTGTGCTGAGGATGATTCCCCACCCGGGGCCCTGGCACATGGTGCTTCCACCCCGGGTGTGGCGGGGATGAGGGTGTCGATTATTGTGTGGGGTGAGAGAGGGGATAAAAGGAGTGCCTGCACAAGTCCCCCCCCCCCCCACTCCCCCCATTGCTTCCTGCGACAGCGGCAGGATTGTGGCCTCTGCTCCTCTGACACCTGCATTTCATTGAGCGCGAGAGGCGGTGACTAGCTCGGATCTGCAGATCCAGCCTGGTGACGGGGTCCCTCAAGGTTAGGAGACTCCCACTGGGTCTCAAATAAAATTGGCATTATTCTCTGACGTTAGCTCACAAAAAACAGCCCGGACCGTGTGCGGGAAGCGGCGGGGATCGGTGGGTGCGGGGCGCGCCTGGAGAAGCGGGTGGCCGCTGCGCCCTGGGTGGGGTCGCCGCGTGCGTGCGTCTCCCCCAGCTCATCCCCCGGGGCCGCTTACCCAGCTCAATGTTGCCGATGGCGCGCCGCAGGTGCTCCTCGGTCACTATCTCGCCGACCACCACCAGCAGGTAGAACTTGCTGTCGAGGAAGCGGTGCGACAGGCTGGGCGAAGTGGACGCCGCCGCCGCCGCCGCCGCCGCCGCCGGGTTGGCGATGCCGCCGGACAGCTCGGGCTCCGCGGCTTCCACCACCACGGTCGCCATCCTGCCGGCCCCGCGAAGCCTCGGCGAGGTGCCCCGCTCGCTCCGGCTGCTCCTCTCTCCTCTGCCGCAGGAGAAAGGATTATCTCGGAAGGTGCTGCCTCCGCTCCGCCCCCTGCCTCCTCCCTCCTCCTGGCACCGGGCGCCGCCTCCCCGCCCGCCCTCTCCTGGCGCGGGAGGCGGAGAGGAGCTGGGAGGGAGAGCGCGAGGGGCGGCTCCGCTTCTCTATGGAGACCAGGCTAGGAGCGGAGGAGGAAGAGGAGGAGGAAAGGACCACCCGGCACATCCTCGAGCGAGCGTTGGCTGCCTCCACCCGAGCAGCCAGTTGGCCCCGGGGCTGATGTCATCTGCAGCAAATCATCTCGCTCGCGGCCCGGAAGCTGCAGGGACGAGGTGTCTGTGGACAATGGTCAGGGCCAGGCCGACAGTCCAAGGGTTGGGGAAATCTAAGGCCCCTGGTTGCAGTTGTGAAAACCCTCCAACCTACACCCCACACACACACTGATCCCACCCCCACCCCACCCCGTTCGTGCATGCAGAAGGGGGATATTTATCTTGTCCAAGCTGCACAAGCCAGGCCTCTGCCTTGGGTCCTGTGATGAAGCCAGGTTCTCCGGAGCGATGATGATACCATAGCGGGCATGGTGTTCAGGGTACCCCGCCCAGCAAGACAGAACCAATCTTTTCTTTGGCCTTGTGGAGTTAGGAGGACATACAATACTGACCAGTATTAAAGAAGACATAAAAAAAAAAAATTCAAAAACTAAACCTATTGTTCAGGGTTTGGACCTTACTCTGCAAGGCCCGGTGATGAAAATATCCTGGCTTTGTGGTATTCATAGGAAGTGAGAGGCACACAGATGCATTAGCCTACATACAGATTTCTCTTCTTAAAAATGTGCTGAACAGATAGTATCGGGCACAACAAAGAATAAAAAAAAGATACTGTCTCTATCCAGCAGGATTACAGTAACCATAATGTACTTTTCAGTTCCTTGGGAAACACACAGGCAACATTATTTCCTGTGGCAATCAAGTCTTTTAAAATATATAAAGCATTTGGGGATTTTGATTGCCTTTTGTCTATGTTTAGAACTCATAAAAATGTTTATTTTAATAAAAATGTTTTTTAAAGGCAGCCCATCTGCAGCCATTTCTCACAAACATTGAATATAGCCTCTGTCCTAGGAAAGGGGTGGTGATAGTAAGGAAGCAACAAAATGTCAAACGTGATATCATCATAAAAGTCTGAGGGATGAGAGGCTTAAGAAAGAGGAGTGGGTAGAAATTAGAGCAGTCAATATAGATTTTTTAAAATATATTTTATTGATTTTTTATAGAGAGGAAGGGAGAGAAATAGCCAGAAACATCGATGAGAGAGAAACATCGACCAGCCACCTCCTGCACACCCCCTACTGGGGATGTGCCCGCAACCAATGTACATGCCCTTGACCGGAATCGAACCTGGGACCTTTCAGTCCGCAGACCGACGCTCTACCACTGAGCTAAACCAGGTTCAGCTAGAGCATTCAATACAGATTTAATACTAGAATGCATGTTAGTTTTTTTAAAAAAATCAACTGGCTATGCTAAGATTTACAAAATAGTCTGTCGCCTTAGGTATTAGCAACCATGACTTATTGGAGATAAACTTTTTGCTCTGAGCTCTTTGCTGAAACCCTGGCATAGGAGACATGTGGGCAGCCAAAGGCTATGGCCCCATCCTGTATACAGGCCAGCCTGTCAGTGAGGAATAAAGGTAACAGTCTGGCCCACAGCACTTGGGACCTGTGACAGGCTTGTCTGACTATCTGTTTAGGCCAGATCCTACTGGGATGAGGCCTAAATGGGCAGTCAGACATCCCTCTCACAATTCAGGACTGCTGCCTCCCAATTGCTCGCCTGCCTGCCTTCCTGATTGCCCCACTGCTTCTGCCTGCCAGCCTGATCACCCCCTAACTACTCCCTGCCAGCCTGATTGATGCCTAACTGCTCCCCAGCCAGACTGATTGCTCCTAACTGCCCTCCCCTGCAGGCCTGATCACCCCACACTGCCCTCCCCTCCAGGCATGGGTCCCCCCAACTGCCCTTCCCTGCAGGCCCAGTCACCCCCAACTTCCCAGCCTGGTCCCTTCCAATTGCCATCCCCTGCTGGCCTGATCACCCGCAACTTCCCATCCTTGCAAGCCTGGTCACTCCCAACTGCCCTCCACTGCTGGCCATCTTGTGGCAGCCATCTTGTTTCCACATGGAGGCATCCATCTTGTGTGTTGAGTGACAGTCAATTTGCGTATTACTCTTTTATTAGATAGGATAGAGGCCTGGTGCATGGGTGGGGGCCAGCTGGTATGCCTTGAAGGGTGTCCTGGATCAGGGTGGGGGTTCCCTTAGGGCACGGGGCGGCCTGGGTGAGGGGCCTGTGGTGGTTTGCAGTCCAGCATGCCCCCCCGCGACCCAAGTGGAGACCCTGGTATCTGGGATTTATTTATCTTCTATAATTGAAACTTTGTAGTCTTGAGCAGAGGCCAGGGCTGGCCAGAGTGGGCGGAAAGCTTGGCTTCCTCCATTGCCAGGGAAACCCAAGTCTCCTGCTTGCTCTGTGGCTGCAACCATCTTAGTTGGGTTAATTTGCATACTTGCTCCTGATTAGCCAGTGGGTGTGACTTGTGGGCATAGCAGAGGTACAGTTAATTTGCAATGTTTCTCTTTTATTAGTGTAGATTACTAGAGGCCCATTGCATGGATTTATGCACCAGTGGGGTCCCTCGGCCTGGCCTGCAGGTGTCGGGCCAAAACCGGCTCTCCAACATCCCCTGAGGGGTACCAGATTGCAAGAGGGCAGTTCTCAGGCGATGCACCCTGGAATCAGTCTCCCTCCTCTCTGGTTCTGGGTACATCACCTGAGAACCACAGCTGCCAAGTCATCGCAACTTGGCAGTTCTTGCTTTGACTGTCTTCCCCCTGGTGCTCAGTGTGCATCATAGCTCCCAGCAGGTTGGCCAGTTGCTTAGGCATACACACACACACACACACACACACACACACACACATATAAATATATATATATATATATAAATTTGTTTATCTTCACTGCTGGATACTCTGCTCTAGAAGACCAGAACCATATCCACACTCATATATACCCACCAGCTCATCTGAGGATTCCCAGTGCCCAGAATACACATTAATTGGTTGCCTCCCACACTTGCCCCTACGGTGCAGGGATCAAACCTGCAACCCAGGTACATAGCCTTGACATGAGTATCAAACCCCACATCCTTCAGTGCTTGGACCAACACCCTAACCACTTAACCACACTGGCCAGGGCAAGCATTTTTATTTCCTTTTATTTATATTTTACTAACTGCATTTTTTACTTAAAATATGTCCTTTTTTTTAATTGGGCTATTGGTTTTATGTTTGTTGGTTTGCAGGAGCTTCTCTGTCTCTCTCTCTCTCTTTTTAGAAACTCTACGTACAAGTTTATGGTGAACATATGTTTCCATCTCTTTTGGTTATATTCCCAGGAGTGGAATTGATGGATCATATAATAACTTTATGTTTAACTTTTCTGAGAAACTGCAGTAGAATCTATTTATATAGCCTTTGTTACCAGTATATGGTGCTTTGTCAGTTAAGTTTGTATCCATTTATGATGTCTTTGACCATATAAAATATTAAATAAGTATATTATAAGGTTAAACCAATATTCTTCATTTATAAATTACTAGAGGCCAGATGCACAAAATTCGTGCACTGGGGGGGATCCCTCAGTCTGGCCTTTGCCCTCTCGTAGTCCAGGAGCCCTTGGGGGATGTCCTACTGATGGCTTAGGCTAGGGGTGTCGAACTCAATCAGAGAAGGGGCCAAAATCTAAAATCCAGCCTAAATCACGGGCCGAATGGTTTACTGAACAGTCATAAACTGTCATTGTGATGGAAACGCAGCAGAGTGCAGTAATGACAGCGCGGTGCGGGCCACATTGCAAGGCCTGGCGGGACGGATTTGGCCTGCGGGCCTTGTGTTTGACACATGTGGCTTAGGCAGTTGGACATTGTTAGCACTGCCACAGAGGCAGGAGAGGCTTCCGCCACCACCACTGCATACGCCAACTGTGAGTCCAGTTTCTGGCTGAGCAATGCTCCTGCATTGAGTGTCTGCCCCCTGGTGGTCAGTACTCACCATAGCAACCAGTCATTCCGTTATTTGGTTGATTTGAATATTAGCCTTTTATTATATAGGATTGGGAGTTGTCCTGCTTAGGAATGATCTTTTACCCAAAACCTTAAAACTATTCTAGTAGTGTTACAGTTTTGTTCAACTGAAAGAGTACTTAATTCAGACAATCAGTAAAGATTCATTCATAGAGAGGGAAATATTTGAAATTTTCCTGGAAGAATTTATCAATAAGCAGGAAATAGAGAAAGAGCAATCTACAAGAAAATGGCATAATAAAAAAAAACACAGAAGAACTATACTGAGTTTATTCTTTAAAAAAAAAAATATATATATATATATATATATATATATATATATATATATTATTGATTTTTTTTACAGAAAAGAAGGGAGAGGGATAGAGAGCTAGAAACATCGATGAGAGAGAAAAATTAATTAGCTGCCTCTTGCACACCCCCTACTGGGTATGTGCCTGAAACCAAGGTACATGCCTTTGACTAGAATTGAACCTGGGACCTTTTAGTCTGCAGGCTCTATCCACTGAGCCAAACTGGTTTCAGCCTGAGTTTATTCTTGAAAACAGCTTACTCCATTCTTTAATGCACAAATGCAGTTCACCGAACACACTGTGCCCTGCTTTTGTCACTTAAGATATCTCTGAGCCCTAGCTGCTTTGGCTCAGTGGATAGAGCATGGGGCTGCAAACTAAGGGGTCCCAGGTTTGATTCCGGTAAAGGCATGTACCTTGGTTGCCCTCTCCTTCCGGGCCCAGGCTCTGGTCAGGGCGTGTATAAGAGACAATCAATCAATGTGTTTCTCTCACATCAATGTTTCTGTCTTTACCTCTCTCTTCCACTCTTTCTAAAAGATCAATGGGGAAAATGTCCTCAGGTAAGGATTAACAAAACAAAAAAAGATATCTTTGAAATATTTTCATAACTGTCACAAAGAGCATTCCCATTCCTTTTGACCTATGCATCAAATCCCATTGTGTGCAAATATAACAATTTGTCAGTTTTCTATTTTTATCACTCCTCCATTGGTGATTTCTTCCAATCTTT